TTTTTTTTATACATATATATATATTTCACCTACTTATGTAGAATAACATTTTGTGGAGTTAGGGATATTAGTACAAGGTTACTTTTAGTTGAATAGTATCCTGGGATTAGGTTTGGGAAGTCCGGGTGGGGGGTGGGGGTTTTCAATTGTGATGTATTTGTGATGTGTTTTTTTTCTTATGTTGAAAACAATAAAAAAAATTTTTGAAAAAAAAAAAAAAAAAAAAAAGATTTCCAAGTTTTCACCTGACAGGCTTAGCCCTGCCACTATTCTTATCAAGAATGTTTTAAATTTGTCTTCTTGTCTTGTAACTAATACCCTAAAAGACAAATTAAAATCCAAACTTTCTAATTTTGTGTCATTTACTGATATTGGAACCACCTATTTAACCTCTTCATCAAATCATGAACAAACATACTGAAGAGTAGAGGAGTTAAGACTGTTCCTTATGGCATTCATTATTTATCTGCAATATAGGTCAGTGATGGCGAACCTTTTAGAGACAGAGTGCCCAAACTGCAACCCAAAACCCACTTATGCATCATCGAGTGCCGGCTGGGTGTGGCCTATTGGCTGGGTGTTGGCCAATTGGGTGGGTGTGGCCAATTGGGTGGCCGTGGCTGTGGTGGTAATGGCAGACTGGGTGGGACTAAAAAGTTCAATCAATCAATTCCAACTTTGCAACATCTTTTTTTTTCCCCCGCAAAAAGTTGAAATTGACTGATTGAACCTTTTTTTTTTTTTTGCACATGGCGGCGGAGGCCTAAAGCGAAAAGGTTTTATAAAACCCAGCTGAAGGCCTTGGACTTGGGCGACGGCGCGCGTGCCTACAGAGAGGGCTCTGAGTGCCGCCTCTGGCACCCGTGCCACAGGTTCGCCACCACTGATATAGGTAGTCCTCAATTAGCAACCATAATTGGGCCTGACAGTTCTGTCATTAAGCAAAATGGTTGCTAAGTGAGAAATAATTTGGAATGCTTACCTTGTAACTGGGATAATTAACAAGAAGAAAATTAAAGTTTGTATTTACATTCATTAAAGAGGAAGGATTTACAAGAAAGTAGGCAGGCACACAATGGAGAATGCATATTGAAAGCAATGCAATGGCACCAGCAGCCCTGATTACATTCAGGGATAGGAACTGCAAATGCCCTACACAAACAATCCTGGGTATCCTCCATTGTATATCTGGTTATTCTCTTGTAATCTCTTCTCCAATCCTCTCCACTCTGCAAAGTGGGGGAAGAAAAACACAGGCACAGGACAACGCATAAAAACTGAAATGATGATCATGAGACAGGGATGCTGAAAAGGTCATAAATGTGGGCACTAGTCATTTTTTCAGCACCATTGCAACTTTAAATGGTTGCTGAATGAGTATTTGGTAGGCAAGGACTATTTGTAATATTAGTAGCCATCAACGAATTCTCTTTGAAAATAATTAACAAGCTTCATACATATGTATTTATTTCTCATGCAATCTTGCCCATTCTCTCTCTCTCTCTCTCTCTCTCTCTCTCCCTCCCTCCCTCCCTCCCTCCCTCCCTCCCTTCCTCTTTGCAATCCCTTCAATGTTTTCATCAGTGTTCTGAGCAATAAATCTATTAAACAGACACTTTAAACTCTGTTCACAGTTAAAAAAAATTTCTACGCTGGATAAAAAATTAATTTTAATTCTGTCAGAGTAAAGAGGGAAGCATTGTAATAGGTGGTCTCATGAGTTGAAAAGCTAACATATATTTTAAAAAATAAATAAAAGTATACTGCAATAGTCTTAAGTAGCTAACTATTTCATATTTCCAGATTACATCATTAAGAGACCAAAATAGTATTACAGTAGCATATTCATACATAAGATTAAAATAAACTTAAATAATAGGATATAAATGCCAAAGCTCTATTTTTCCCCATTGTCCTCTTGTGTCGTAAATCTTAGTTTTGGATGATTTGTGTATATGCCATTATGCAGTAGAACCAAGACAGTTAAATAAACTTTAGAGATGTAGGCAACTAATTTTACCAGTTCTGTATATATCTGTGCCTGACCAAGCACATGTATTTTTGTCACAAAAGGGTGAGAACTTCAGCAACTAATGTTCTTGTGAGAAATTAAGTTTAGTGTATACTTATTGGTTTAGAGAAAACATATGATAAAAGTGAACATGGAATGGTATGCATGAAAAAAAACTTGAAGTTTGGTTACTGAACATGGTAAAAGCAGTATATGATAGAAGTAAACCATGCAAGACAATAAAAGGAGTACTTAGCAATGATTCTTCAGTGAGCAAGAATTAAGAAAAGGATGTACGATGACCCTTTGGATAAATGTATAAGGAATATTTGTGATAGTTTTATAAGCCCATTGGGCTTTGACACATTAATTTTCAGATTTTGCTGTATCGTTGAATTTTGGATAGGGAAAATAGTATTAATGGAAAAATTAGAGCAACCAGGTTAATTTTTGTGTCTGAATAGATAAAAAAAATGATGGCTACATTTTAAGATGCGCAAATGTAGTAAAAACAGGGCTTTTTTTCTCATACAACGCCTAGAACGGAGTTCCGGCACCTTTTTTGGATGGAACCTTGTAGGGTAGACAAGGCAGGTTATATGACATGTGTGAGTTCCAGCACCTTTTTTTTTTTTTTTGAAAAAAAGCACTGAGTAAAAATATTGGGTATAGTATGTAATCTGTTAGAATGAAACAGATTACTGAAAATATTTATATGTAAGAGCATGCTTCTGTGTACTTTTTTATATATGGAAGTGAGAATGGGTATGTCAAGAGGAACACAAAACAGATTAAATACAGCAGGAATGGCTTACTTAAAAAGGATAGGATGGTAAAACAGAAAAAGTAAAGTCAGGAATGAATGGCTGCAGAAGGAATGTGCATTGAATCTAGAAATGAACGACCAGTATGAAAAAAAATACTTTTAAGTGATTTGATTAGATTGGAGAATGAATGAAGCCCAAATTACAAAATAATATTTGAAAGAAGATTGTAAGATTGAAGAAACTGAGAAAGTCAGTTGATAAGTTTCTGAAAAAGAGATAAGTTTAAAAAACAAGACAGTGTATAGAAAGGAACACAGACCATTTATTATTCAGTTTCTATATGCTGCCTGGTGTTGTATGTCCAAAGAGAATAGTATGATGGATACGTATGTTCAAAAATAATGTACCATTTGAGCACATTAGGGATATATTTTAAAAACAATATCTGATAGTTTTTAAATAATTATTAATAATTTTATTGCTACTAAACTATCATAATTTGGTTTATAATTCTATTTCCACTTGAAATGATTACAATAATAACCAAACCATGCTACTTGTGGACAGAAAATATTGGATTGTGCTGGTATTTTCAAAGCAGTCTAGCATTTTAGGGTCAGTAACAGAATAAGACACAAAAAAATTAGTAAGCAATAATGTGGTCAAAGTCCAGTGCAGATTAAAAGTCACAACTGTGCTTCTCGGTATCAAAGTTCAGTTTGGGCAGCAAAACATATTGAACCAGAATTCCTATAATCAAGTCACAGAGTATTCTGGGTTGGAACTGTGACAATAATTGCTTATTATGAGGTTATTATGAGTTCCTGACTTCCACTCTAGAACTTTCAGCAGAAACTTTTAGCAGAATGTATAATAGATACTAGTCTACTTTGGTTTAAAACAGCCTACTTCCAGATTTTTCTAACATATTTTCCTATGCAATCTGGCACTTCATTGCCTCTTAATCCAATAGCATCAATATTCCCATGGGTCTGAAAGCTATGTTTCTATGGCAATGTCAAATCTAGGCTTGCAGAGCTGAGATCAATGGAGGATGCATTTGAAAAGATCATAGAACAAATCAATGCAGAGTTCCCACTCAGTGCGCAAATAGCCAGTCTCAAATATCTATGGAGATTCTCAGTCATCCAAGTCATGGTTGTCCCAAAAGTGCTTTTTCAAAAGGCAACTGGATTTCGTTTTCCTTGAAGATGTTTTACTTCTCATCAAAGAAGCTTCTTCAGTTCTGAACCTGAAGTTCTGAACTTAAGAGGCTTCTTGGATGAGAAGCGAAATGTCTTCAAGGAAAAAAATAACACCTTTAGGACAGCCAGTCTCAAAAGTATAATATACAAACACATGAGACAAAGTAATATTGTAACTTATAAATCTAGGAAAAAGAGGATCATCAGTAACAAGGTGGATGGATTCAATTGCAGCAATGATAGCTATATTGATGGAACACTTGAAGGGTCTGTCTCTAGGGAACAGATAGTCACGAGGAAAATTTATGTGGTTATTGATAATGATTTGATGGAATATAAAAAATTATCATCTCAAACCAAATTTGTTCTTGTTCAATTTTGAGGTCGATGGATAGATTATTCAGGTAAACAACTTATTTTTAACATTTTATGCAGTTTCCGTTTATTTAAATTGTATTTATATCTAATTATAGTGTTTACCTAAGGTAATTGAATGATGTGCAATCTCATGAATGTCTCACTAATGTGGGCAATTACTTATTTAGGATTTGCAATGTATTTACAGTATTTGCAATCACATTATTCTCCAAATAATAAACGGTTGAAAATCAACCCAGAACGTACAATTTTTAAAATACATATAACGTTTTTTAAACTGGCATCCGTAAAGTCAAGCAATTTCACCTCCTACGTAGAGTCTAATATTTTTGCCTTCTTTTATGACGAGGAAAATTGCACAACTTCTCGCGAGATTCTTGACCACGTACGGGAAAGACATCGCTTTCGGATGCCGTCTGATAAACGACCTACCGCTCTTGCGAGTTGTTGAATTGCTTTCTTCCACCACCTCTCTCGCGAGATACGCATTCTTCGCGAGAATTTCGTAGTACGCACAATCGATTTGTATGGAAATCTCGCGAGAGCCCGTGCAGCAAGGTCTGGGCATCCCCATAGCGGCAACACAGATCCTCCTACAAGCATCCAAGACGCGGCGGGCGCCATTTCAGGGAGCAGTCGCCTTTGCTAAAGCGGAGTCTGTGTGTTCTTGTTGCGAAGCTTCCTTGGCTTTGCTCGTACTAATTTTTCGAGGTCATTCTTAGTCTAGCTTTTTGCCTGCTGCTGTTGCTGAGGTAATTTTTTTGTTTAAGGGCCAGCGCCCCTCCTCACGCGTATCCAGACCCAGGGAGACAAACGACGGCCGTGGCAGTATCCCTCCGCCTCATAAACACCTGGGCCAGAAGCGAGAGGCCGGCAGCGCAGGTAATAGCTTTCATATTTTTGACGGCTCTCTTTTATGAACTATTCTGGGGAAAGGATAGCGTGGGTTCTGCAAGGTTTAAGGGCGTCTGCGTTGGGCCTTCCCGGTGGCGGGCCCATTTCTTTTTGTCTTCGATTTAATTCTAGTCTGGTCAGCCGGACTGGAAATCCCAGTTCCTGTGGGGTGGTGCAGGCCTCTGCGTGGTGCCCCGGGGGTGGCGGGAGAAAACGAGGGAAGCCGAATGATAACGATTTAGTTTTGGAAATTGTGTGTTTTATTTTCGCGCGGAAGGTTTCGTGGAGTAGAGCTCTTCCTGAGTCTCACGGTTACGATCGGGATATATTTCGCCACAAGATTCCTAACTATTTCTTTATTGCTTTAGATATTTTCGCGGGAAGGGCCTTAAAACTTCGCAGTGTGTGCTGTTGTGTGTTAACGAAAGGCTGATGACCCGAGAGAATAAGGGCGCTTAGTAAAGAGTCATCGTAATAACTACTGCAAGGAGAGTAGAAAGTCTGTTTATTACTGTGGTATTTTTTTTTTTTTGGGAATAGTTATTGGGCCGAAGGTGGGAGGGGAAAACGAACTTTCCATATATCTGCACAAGTGAAATCCGTACACGTGGTTTGTTTCCCAATAATGTGTAGTTTGTAGATATTTTTAAGTAAGTAAATGCATGCATTTTTTGCTTGACAATTTGAAAATATTTCACTCATGTAACTAGACAGTTTTTAGTAAAAGAACGTTGCTTAAAAATCTGATCTTAATTTGTAGTTAGTTCACTCTCATGCTAAGTCACAAACTAATTTTGAAATGCGGAAAAGTTTCAAAAGTGGTTTGTTGCAACCTGGGTGTGGGAACAGGGTCTCTTTAGAGAATTATACCTGAACTTTATTGTGTGAATTGTAGATTGCTCTGCTATGTCTTACGGTGGATCATGATCTGTTGAACTGGATATTGCTTCTGAAAATGCATTATCTATATGGTTTTATTTTAATTGACTATTTGGACTAAATGCCCAGATTGCCAAGAAGCAAAACTAGTATTTAACTGGTCAGATGAGTATATCTTTAATAGATGGAAAATAAATATCTGTGCTCTGTATGTATATGTATGTGTGTGTATATCTATCTAGTACAAAAACTACAGTGCATAACACTCATAATTTATATTTTAAATTTATAATTTATATTTTAACCTAGGAAAGCAGGCTTTTAAGTGAATACCATCAGAGTTCTGACTTCCTTGTTAAGAGACTAAATATATATTTTAATATTCCTGTTTACTTGGGTAATTTTAGTTAAATAGCCTGGGATATTTGAATTACTCTATTTGGACTAGATCATTTTTTAATCTACAAAAACAGATAAAGTATTCAATTTATAATACTTGCATTCAAAACTTATGCATTCTATTGTTCAAATTATTTATAACTCATTTTATAAAAAACAATTGGATGATACTGTACTGGATAAATGATACTATTCTCTATGAGCATATTATTTAATGCTGTCTTTTAAACTGCTATATTTTTCCTGCTGTGCTGTTTTTACTATGCTGAAAGCCAGCATTTTTAACAGTCCCCTTCCAATATTTCCATGAATAACTGATATTTCTCTTAAATGCTTGAGAAGTTTTTAAATTTATCTTTGAACTGCTCTGTAATATAGGGCAGTATTTATATTGTAATATAGTGTAGGCCTATTTCAACATCTCTAAAAAATGTAATTCATAATGTCTGTTAATCAGATTATCTTATGGAACTTTTATATGTTCAAGCAAAGAGAAATAGAATAAATCTTTAGAGGATACTTGGGGGGCCATTTAGTGAATTCTGTTCTTTCTATATATAAAATTGCAGATCTTCCAATACTGTTTTGTTTGAGGATATGTTTCCTTTAATATAAGTTTGCTAAATTGTCCAATGTCAAACTCTGTAGCATTTGTTTCCCATGCTTTTTATTCCCTATATTACTTAGGACAATGTTGAAAATATTTTAAAATGCAGGTGTACTTTATTTTAACCTAAAATGTAGCATGAGAAGATCACAATATGCTACATGTACAAATACTAAAACCTAAGCAATATTTTTCTGCAAATAGTTATATTTTCATCCAAATACCATGAGATGGATTATTTGCTAGGTTTAGTTGTTAGTTTTCCAACAGGTTTATCACCTTTGGATTCTTAATAAGTTGTGTTGCAACTTATTGATTTGTGTAGTTATATTTATTCGTACTATCATTTTAAAAAATATACCAATGTGAAGTTATTTGCTACAGATTTAATCAATTTCTGGACATAATTTGAAAGTGTATCCCTAATTTTATTTCTGTGACATGCTTAGAAATGTTTTCTACATAGTACTGCTTCTTTTCTCTTCCTATAGGGCTGTGAATGTTTAATGGGACATTCTGGATGATGATACTTAAATACAGGAATTTTGAAGATACTGCTTTCTACATAGCAGTAGCAGTTATATCTTCTGGTAGATATTTGTTTCAGAGGTAGATAATATATGAGCACAGTAGTTCTATAAATTGAGTATCATGACACAGAAGTTGATTGAGGCAGCTTTAATATTTCTTTCATTACATTGGAGTCTACATTTACTGAAAGTTTTCCTGAGAAATTCTCTGGACTTGACTTAAATGGCAAATTTATAGCAATGTGCAGCTATTTGAGTCCAAAGCAATTATGAATTTTCAAATGTAAGAAGGCTTGGTGTGCCTTTTTATGGGGCTTGTGCCTTTTTATGAGCCTCACAATAGCCATACAGTCTTATCACAAATACATATTTGTTTACTTAAACATGTATTTTCCTGGGAGATGCCAATGAATGCATTTTGTGTCCCCACATTTCTTTAAATATGTGACTCACTTTGGATCCAAATAACTTCACAAACTATAGATTTTATAATCACTTTGGAATATGTGTCATACGCATTTTTACTTTTTGAAAAAGTTGAAAAATTATTACAGCCATTTTTACTAATTGTTACAGAAGGTGTTACAGCAGTTTGAAATGGTACATTATATAGGAGATCTGAATAGAAACATAATTGTTGCTGTAATGGAAGGCAGATCTCCTTTTCATATTTCCTGAATTCGGTAATGAGCATGCATTATATCACATATTCCATCTTTACACTATTTTCTTAAAATGTAGTAAAAGAAAGATAATATGCACATCTGTATTTAGAAATTTCTTCTGGTTTCATCTTATGTACAGTAATTGCCACTTGTAAGCTTTTCCATTTCACTAAGTACTTGGTCATAATTGTTATGGCAAATTTGGCAGCTTACATTTGCCGCTGTGGCGTTGACAGTTTGCATCTGAGAATCTATACTAGCTAATTCCATATAAGAGATTATTAAGATAGCTTGACTAATCTGTTTCGAATTTTTGACCCAAGGAGTCAATGATTCATGGCAGATTTCGGGGGATAGGAAATCATCTAATTCATGAGGAACTTCCAAACTGAAGCTCTAATGAGCTTTTTTCCATCATAGGGATGTTTCTCCCACATCTTGGAGGTAAGGCAATAATAGCACAACATGAGTTACATTTGAAATAAATTTTAAGGAAGTATTTTAGATGAATAGACTCTTGAAGTAAGGAACCATTTAGGAACCAAAAGTAATAATGAACATTCCATTTTCTTTACTTAGAAGAACATATACTACCGTCAGGAGCACAGTTTCACAAATCCCAGTGGTTAAGGATAGTAACTTGATCAGACTTTAAAAATCATTATCTACTTCCAGTACAGGATTTTTTTACAGGTTGTTCATGATCTGTATCCCTTGCATTGCTTCTCCATGATTGAAATCTAGGTTTGGTATGGAACAAGGAAGCTGAAAAAATATTTCTATACCACAGTGGCAATATGAGCTACATGTAGCAATGATTTTGTGAAATCTAGATTGAGAAATTCAATAGTGGATTAAGATAATATGTTGTGGTTTTTTAATAAATTGGTAATCATATTGAATAAACAATTTATTTTCTTAATCTACTTTTAGATTCTTTTTTCTAATCTTGTTGTGGTTCCTTAAACTCATAAATTCATTTCATTAAAAAAAAGTTTACTTGGGTAGAGTACATATTTATGAAGTACTTCTAAGATAAGAACTGACTTATTCTTTGAAAGAAAAGTACTAAACACACGGATAAGTTCAGTTTAGCTGTACTTAGTGTATATTTCTAGAGCAACATCCTTTGGAAATGTGGTACCACAAAATCTTAAATTGATCACAAATATGGAAGTAGATTCTTGACTAAAGGATCTTGTTATTTTTTTCTAGGTGTCCTGAAAAATGGCTGATGATATTGATATTGAAGCAATGCTTGAAGCCCCCTTTAAGAAGGTGAGAAGATATGCTAACAAATTCTTTAGCAATATTCATTTAGCATTATTCATGAAACTACTGCTGAACTATAAACTAACATCCCTGGAGTCCTCATGATTTATCTTATTGGACATGCATTACGTGTATCTTACCAGTAACTAAATGCTGTTAATGTAATTATATTGTGCAGTAGTTTCACTTCAGCGTGATGAATAAATGCCCATCTATCTCTCTTTGTAGACTTGCCTAACGATATCTCACCTCTACTCCCATGAATTCACCTTTGATTCCAGTGTGAACTGTCAATCATAAGGTAGTAATTGAGTGACGTATCGCTGTACCGTGGTCCCCCTAGGTAAAACAAACAAACAAACAAACAAAAACACTCCTAAAAACTACCACCTCAATTTTGATAGACCAACAAGGTGAATGCAAAGGTTTGGGCAAACAGCAGGGTTCCAAGAATAACTTTTTCCCTAAGTTCATGACAAGCAAATCCTTATTAATGCAAGAGGAGTTACAGCTTTTTTTTTAAGGATGGGTTATTAATCTTTTAGAAACACCAGACGGTAATCAAAGTGTTATGTGAAAGTTGTTTCCAAAATTCTTGGATCCCTGAATAGTTCACATAATAGTAGATATGAAAGATATTTTGAACTACATTCATTGTGACAGAGTACTCTTTTATCTAGTAATTTCTTAGAAATCTTTAATGTACCTTTTCTGCACTTCTGAATACTGAGTACCTAGCTTCAGAACTAAACAGGGAGCAAGTATATTTAGATTTCACCAGATCTTCATAAAACTATGAAATTATGCATGCAGTAGCACTGGCGTCACAAATTTATATATACATATACATTTAAAACTTAATGTGCAGTTGAACTCATGGTGTAACTGGTGTGATAACTACTATAAACATAACAGCAACTGTTAGTTGATTTTGGAGTATATTTAGTGCAGCTCTTTGATATGAGATTTGGAAAAGTGTTGTAATCTTTTAAATGTTCATGTTTTAGTTTTATGTAATTAGTACTTACGTAAAATTTTGAAATGAATATAAATTGTAATGTTAAGTATATTGTATGCTAGTTTAACATGGATATTTTCCATGTAAACAGGTTTGGAAATAGGAAATATTTAGGCTGGACTGGTTGGATTTTTGATGAATGACTTGGGAGTCGACATTACTAAAGCAGTGTGAATCCCTGTTTGCTTCAGGGCGAGATGTGTGACAGAGGTGGCATCAAGCTCTTACAGTCCCAACCCTCCAACGAAAATGGGCGAAGATCTCAGGAATGGCATCGGTCACAGGAAATCGATAGTGGCTGGCTGCTAGCTTGGTCACTTGGGGCTTAGGCAGAAATATAGCCTTGGTATTGGTCAAAAGGGATTATAGTATATGAATGTGCTTTTAAACTTGGTATTTCTTGTTATATTTTATCCTTTAACCACTTCAGTGCTGGAAACTGCAGGATGGCTTTATTTCATTGTAAAGAAAGTTTGTACAATTTAAAACCTTTTTAAATAGTAAATTTTCTATTTATAGTTGTATGACTTAAATGTAAACAGCAAAGTGGTTAAAAAGTCTACCTTAATTAGTAGCATCCCATATTGAATATAAAATTTAGTATTAAATTTTTGTTTTGTATTTTCTTATCCCTGCCCCCATTACCCTTTGACCACTTGAAATGTTTCCACTTCGTCCTCATGATGTTCTTCTATCAACCCTGCTTAGGATGAGAACAAATTGAGCAGTGCCAATGGACATGAAGAGCGAAGTAAGAAGTAAGTATTTGCTGGCTCTTTAAATATGCTTAATAAAGCATTCACATTTTAGATTCATAATTTGGATACTTAACCTCCCTTCTTCAGTTTTGGTAATGCACTTTTTAGATTGGTTAAAATAGTACAAAAAATAGCAAACGGTTTTGTATACATTTGAATATTTTAACATAATTCTTCCCCCAGCATTTGTCCCCCTTTCTCTCCAAAACAAAAGACCACCTTTTCAGGATAGAAAACATACAATACAACATCTCAATTTCATGAACTAATTGAAGGGGAAGGATTGTCTCTTTAACTCCAACATATTTATATGTACATTTTACATAGTTTAAATGCTTACAAAATTATGTAGATATGAACATTGTCTGAAAAAGTCCAAATTCACATTTTGCGCTTGCATATGAAGTTTACCAACTGAATGTCCATTTAGAAAATTGAGCTTTTACATTAATATTTATTGCTTCTTGAGGTAATGGGATTATATTAATTACTCTTAACTTGAAATTATGATGGTCTTCTGACTTTCATAGTAGAAAGTCTAACTCCCTCACTCTTTCCTTAGGCTCCTTCAATTGTATATGTTTCTTGCAGGCTATATAACCATATTGGAATAAATGTTGCTTCATTTTTTTTCTAGAAAAAATTTCTGTGCTTTAAAGATGAAGGGAAGCAATTTACTAAATTTTTGTAGGTGAATCTCCAGCTAAAGTAAATTGTTCTAATTGTAGAAATTCAGAATATAATAGAGGTTTTTACTCTTCAAAATATCATGGAATGGTTTTATTCCTATTGTAGGCTACTTTAGCTACTCTTTTTGGAAAACTTCACTTTGAGAAATATACATAAATTAGTTTAAACAGGACATTAATTATTTCATAATGTTGAAGTTATTACAGAAGGCATTAACTCAAATCCCAATATCTTGCCTGTCTTCATTAGAGGTTGTTTTTTTTTTGTTAGACATAGGTTTTTTATTTGGAGCTTGGCAGTTAAGCTAGGTTGCTAATGCATTTCTAGCTGCTCAACCTGTACACCGGGAAAGTCAAGGACCCAGTTCAGAAAGATAAGTAGCTTTGTGGCAGAGAAAAAGTAATTGTAGTAATGATGAAATACTGCTTCTGTAGAGGCTAAAAATCTAACTACTGCTACATTATATTTGTAGAGTATTCAAATGTGATCCCAGGTTCTTATACCTTGTGCTTTAAATTAAGATTATTCTGTATGTGAAAACAAAATACAATTAACAGTGATAAATTGTAAAATAGATTTGGCAATGCCTTTGACCTCTGTAATTGTTTGAATTTATTCCTTTTATGTTGCAAATTTATTTAGAATATAACAAAAGCACATTGCTTGAATTACACCTAGAAGAGTAATTAATAAAGGGCCCTGATTTGATCATGTGAAATCTGCCTAAATCTAAAGAGCAGCCAACATTATTTAGTTTTACTGTCTTTTCTAGTGGATGGTAGCATTTCCCTCTCCTATAATTTATAATTTTATTTGAAATGGGGGAACGTGTGCAGATTTGTGTATATATTTTCTTCTGTCAAAATCTGTATCTCAAGCTTGGCAGCTTAGTAGGTAGACTTCAACTCCCAGAATTCCTCAGCCAGAAGAAACCCTAACCATAATTGGGCTGTACAGGTAGTCCTCAACTTATGATCACAATCAAGTCCAGAATTTCTATTGATAAGACAGTTATTGAGTTTTGCCCCATTTTACAACTTTACTTGCCACAGTTGTTAAGTGAATCACTGCAGTTGTTAAATTGATAACACAGTTGTTAAGTAAATTTGATTTCCCCATTGACTTTATTTGTTAGAAAGTTGCAAAAGGTGATCACATGTTCCTGGGACACTGCAACCATCATAAATATGAACCGGTTGCCAAGCATCCAAATTTTGATCACGTGACCATGGGGATGCTGCAATGGTGGTATGTGTTTTTTCAGTGAGGTAGTAATTTCAAATGGTCATTGAATGATTGTAAGGTGAGGACTTCTTGTATTTCTCTGCAGTTTTTCTACCAGCCCTGATTAGTTAAAATTCCTCTATTAAATATCTTGGCAGGAAGATTTTATGCGATTTTGCTGCTTATTTTGAATGGAGGAAAGTTTTTTCTTTTCCTTTGGAAAAATCAAAAGAGGCTTGAAATTGTAGGTCATTAAATTAATAAACTATCGATATTTCTGTTCCATTAGTTATATAATTAGATCATAACAGTACTGGGCCGAAATTAAATGTTACCTTATCTTACGCTATTTTTACAATAGTTTAAAGATAGATGTTTTATAATGTGTTTGTTTGTTTGATTTACTTTATAAACATAAGGAGCTTTTTTCTGTTGATTTTTGAAAATCAATTAAGTAAAATAATTGTTTTAGTTGTATTTTGTTCTCAGGAGCTCCCATTAAGTTTTCCATTCAAGGGATAAACAATTTCAGTTTCAGCAATTCTGTAGTATATTTCCAATCTGTAAAGTGGTCAATAAAACTTTATCCTAACTTTCTTCCCCATATTTTAAATCCTCTTTTTAAAGAAAATTTTGTCTTAAATGTTTTATATTGAATTGTCTGGTAAGCTGTTTTTAATGTGATAAGACAGAACATGTATTTACATGAAGCAAAAGTTATCTATAGCTTACATAGTGTGTATTCGTAGGCTTTGAAGGTATATTCACTAACTTATCTGATCTTTTTAAATATTTTTGGTATTTAGGAGTAGTTCCTGTACATTTAATTAGACCTTTAAAAATACCTATATTATAGAAAATAGGAAATAACTATATTGTAGGAAATAATTAAAATAGTGATTTTTTTTGATTCTGAAAACAAAATTGAAGACAAGTGTTGCCAGAATGTGTGAGACTGCTCCTAGAAAATGGAGTGAGGAAGGAAGCTGGCATGCTAAAAAGCATCATCCTCCAAAATCTTTTTTGTTTCCAAGCCGACCTCGAATACTAAGTAGTCTCCACATGCTTTCTAGAAATGAAAAGGAATTGTAGTTGCAATCAATGCTTTGCCCTACCTACCCAAAAAAGACAAAAAATATTATTAGAGTTAGTATTTGCAAAGAACTAGAGAGAATGGTAGAAAGCAAAACACAAATAAAGGTTGTAGTTTGTGACAAGTGGTTTGTGACAAGTAGCAGCCATCTCTTGTGCTCATTGGCCTCAAAAGACTAGGAAGCGTTGTTTTTGTAACCTTTTACACGCACACGCACGCACACACACACTTTCATATAGTCATGAAGTTGTTTAAGTAAGTTTCAGTTTTCTTAGGACCAATTATGAAAACAATAAATTACAACCTTGTTTGTATCATTCTGGTTTAAATTCCTCCTCATTGGGAAAAATATTCCTATAGAAACTTTCTGTTTAAGCAATGAATATACACGTTATAAATTGTATAAAAGACCCAGAATCTTTGGTTGATAATTTGCAGGCTACATAAATATTTTTTTTAATTATCTGGCAGGATATTAGTTTTGCTTGGCTTCTCCTTTATAATTAATTATTTCACTTGCTGGAAGTCAAACACAGGTATTTGGATCAAGGCTTTGTACTGCAAAGAAAAAGCTCTGATTGCCTTTATATTAGGCTAAGCAACACAAAATTAAAGAATTAGTTTTTCTTATAAAATGGCAGTATCAAAGGGAAAGGGATGAATGAGCCACTTTCTATAACATCAGTTTTGTAGTACAAGACAATGCTTTTCCTGCACTATGGGATGAAATGGCTACAGATAAATTCGGGCACAATGCACTTAATGACTGCATTGGTTAGCGATGGAAGCTCCAGTACTGATTATGGTTGTAAGTCAAGGACTAAAGAGTGCTTATGGGTCCTGCATAGACAACATGAAGTAATGGATTAATACAAGTTGGTGCTTTATCATTTTTTATTATATGGGTTTGTGATTGAATACACATTCTATGGCAACTGCAGTATGAAAATGCTTATATAATGTAATCTCAGAATTCCAAATATAATCCCCAAAGTTTGAACTATATCATTTTTTAAAAGAGTTGAGGACCACGGAGTAGCTATAATCCCATTACAACATGTAGTCATCGGGGATCTTGCACAGTGTTTTCATGATTTTTAGTTTTTAAATTGTGATATATATGTTTGAAAACACTGATGTTAGTTTTAATTAGTCACAGGGAGCTTCAGGGACCTGGGTTCCCCATGTCTTGTGTAGAAGCTTTTTCATGGGGTTAAATAATTTAGGTGTAATAAATCTTGTGAAATGTTTAGCACACTAGGTTATGTACAGTATATGTCAATATTGAAGAAATTGACTTAAACTATTATTTAGAAATTTAGTACAGGTAGTCTTTGACTCACAATCACAATTGAGCCTAAAATTTATGTTGTTAAGTGAGACATTTGTTAAGTGAGTTTTGTCCCATTTTGTGCCCTTTTTAGCCACAGTTGTTAAGTGAATCATTGCAGTTAAATTAGTAACACAGTTAAGTGAATCTGTCTTCCCCATTGACTTTGCTTGTCAGAAAGTTACAAAAGATGATCACATGACCTCAGGACACTGCAACCATCATAAATATGAGCCAAGCGTTGAATTTTAACCTTGTGACCATGGAAATACTGCAACGGTCATAAGTGTAAAAAATGGTTATAAGTCACCTTTGAACAGTCACTAAATAAACTGTTGTAAGTCGATGGCTACTTGGATAAACATTTTAAAGTACTA